ATTTTTGTAAATCCGAGGTGTTGATTGATGAAACTGGCATGACGCTAACCTTAAACTTTAGTCATGCTATCCTTATGCACTAAGGACAAGAATATTTATAGTGTTAAATATAAACATGTCAATCACTTTCACTTACTTTCATGATTGTCAAATTTAACAGTCCATATTTTTTTGTTTTCATGGTACATAACTTTGACCTCATCACCACCACCTCCAGATCTGGCACGACTTTCAAAGTACATCTGTATAACCTCTGTAGGAATACCGGTATCCCCATGTACCTCTACTACTGATTTGTCTACTTGATGTTTGTATAGCCAGACTGGACGATCAACATTTAGCAAGCTTTCACTTAACTCATGAGGACGTGCAAGAACTCTATCCACAGCTAAAAGATAACTTGTTAATATAAATTGTTTTGCAATAATATATACATTTTGGTAAGTTTATATAATAAGCATGTTTTGTGCTAAGCAATTTCTACTGTATCCTACTGATTAGAATTTCCGCATTTCTAGTTTTCAAAACATACCACACATTTGCCGACACTTAGTACGGCGGGACTAACATTATTTCATTATGTGTGTTATAGCCCTACATAGGTAAATTGAACCAGACAACTATGATTGTATAAATATTTATTTAAAATGTATGGCATTAATAAAACTTGATTAGTTATCAGTATATGCTTTTATACTGTTACAACATTGTTCTAAATATCGCAAATAATTAAACAAATTTATGTACAAATTTTTATGAAAACTGTTACCATTGCTGTTTAATGTCAGTGCAAACTTGTTCAGATAACTTAACACTTCGTCGATGTGACATCGTACTGCTCTTTTCTGTTTCCAGCATTGCATAATCATTGGCCTCAATACTGTTGGAAAGTCTTCAGGAACTACTAGCAACGTCCCTGTTAAAATATTATTCATTATTTCGTCCTCCCGTTTCCCTTCCCATGGTTTTTGACATGTCCATAGTTCCCACACAACAACACATAATGAATAAATATCCGACTTTTGAGATGCAAGCTTGCAGTTTTTGATAACTTCTGGTGGAGCCCATGCTTTTGTGCATCCTCCATAGCTTGAAATCAAGCTTTCACTATCTTCCGCCTCCTTTGATATTCCAAAATCACATATTTTAAGTACATTAAAGGAATGTTCGACATCATCGCTTAACAAATAGTTCATCGACTTAATGTCCTTGTGAATAATATGTTTGCTATGCAAATATTGAACAGCATAAGCAGCGTCGAAACACCATTGAGTAAATTGTGGTCTTGGTAGCCTCGCTAAAGAGGATGCTGCTCCCAAATTTCCTTGTCTTTTTTCAGCTAGGTAGGTGAACAAATCACCATTAGTTGCCAATTCCATGACCAGACCCTTTGCCGGGAGTTTATTATACTGACCATAGAACTTGATAACATTTTTATGGTCAAGATCTTTCAGAATCCTGATCTCTCTTTCACTTACATTTTTATGATGCATCTTAACCGCAACTAAAATGTTTCCATCGGCTGTTTTCCATTCAACTTTGTAAATTGTCGCCGATGAACCTCTACTGCCAATAACCTCACCAAAACCAAAGTCAAGTTCTTCATGCTTGATTAAAAGAGAACCCGATGCAGCCATTTGAGAGAAAATAAATTATAATTTACTATATAAAACAGATGTATACAACAAGCACAAATGCTGTCGAAGTTTACTGACAAGTTCGATTGTCCGATTTTGTAATCTCGCATAAAACATCAGCATAGACAAAAGGTTTATAATCAGGTTAACAATCAAAAAGTTCACAGGCTTGACTATTGTTTGTTTATGTAATCATGTAAATCACGATGATATGCCTATTATATCAGGTGCATTTACAGGCAAGTTTTTTCATCTTAATTTTCATCTTAAGCTTCTGGGAACTTCCCCTACCCCACAATTGACGGTTCCCAGGCTTCCACTAGCCAACGGCCTCCTTGTTCGTCGCTTCAAATCAAAGGGCCTGGCAATAATGCTCTCATCATGGAGGAAATTCACCTAGCTTCGCCACTGATCACAACGGATTACTCAATATTATTAGTAACGTCGTAAATTAGTACAAGAAGATAGAAGGTACATTAAAGAAAAAGCAAAATTATTCAGGAACTACAAAACAGTTGGTGACAAAATGGCCGACAAAGGGTAGGAAACGTAACGTCACACCTTCTCTCCTCATAGGATCGGCAAATTCACATGTATTCGTTTACGTTATTTATTGTCTGGGGAAATTCCCAGGGTACAAAGTTCACCTTTTGCGTCTAATCAGTCACGTGATTTGTATGCAGTACTCGCTTTGTTAATTGTTTTGTTCGAGTTTTCGATAATAATAGCCTAGGTTCTTAATATAGC